TCTCTCTCTCTCTCTCTCTCTCTCTCTCTCCCTAACCACAACTTTATTTATTTTTTTTTTTTTTTATTTTTTGGTTTTTTGAGACAGGGTTTCTCTGTATAGTCCTGGCTGTCCTGGAACTCACTCTGTAGACCAGGCTGGCCTCGAACTCAGAAATCCACCTCCCTCTGCCTCCTAAGTGCTGGGATTAAAGGCATGCGCCACCACTGCCCGGCTGAAACCCTGTCTCAAAAAAAAAAAATCAGTTTTCACTCTCTTATTTCCCCTTGCTTTTTTTCCAATATCTCCCAACTTTGAGGTATGCAGGCAGTTGCTCTCACCTACTCTCTACAGGAGTTATGAAAATCATGTAGACCCTGGTTTGAAACTTAACTCTGCTACTTGTCGGCTGTGTGACAAATTAGATCATTCAGTGTCTCTGAGTCTCAAGGCCTTTAACTGAATGAATGTGATACAATCAAACTTTTCTCTCCAGGTCACTGGGTGTACTCAGTTTAATACACCCTTCTCCAAACTTCCCTCATGGCAAGGTTGCTTTGGGGATTGTTAAAACCTTGAGTCTTGGGTTTTCCAAGTCCCAAACTAGAGTGAACCAGAATTCCCATGGGGTAAGACCTGGCCATCGGACAAACCCTGGGGACTCCAATCAGGAAATCTTTGGGAACACTGGGGCTGACCATCAATTACTGTGCTCAGTGCTAAGCAGTTAATCTTTACTGAGCCCTTACATGTGTGCAGTCTTCCTAGTGAGATGATTATGAACCAAATAGAGTTCTAGCGGGTTCATAGTTCGAGGACCACTGAGGGTTGGTTACCGGCTCTCCATCGGTCAGGCCGAGGCTGAATGGAGCCATGGATGGCAGTTAACCTGATTTCCTGGCTCTGGTTTCAGGCTGTCTTTTCTTGGAAGATGCACCTCCACAACCAGGCTCCTCTTCCCAGTTCTGTGCAGCAAGATTTATGGGTTTTGCTTTTGGTTGTTGGTGGTTTGTTATTTGTTTGTTGAGACTGGGTCTCACTTTGCAGCCCTGACGGGACTAGACCGTGCTGGCCTTGAACTCTCAGAGATCCTCCTGAGTACTGAGATTAAATGTGTTCGCCACCATGCACAGCCTAAGAATGGTCTTATTAATAAGTGTTCCTGTGGACTAGGAGAGGTGCATGTGGCTAACAGTACATACTAATGTGTTTGCAGATGAACTGAGTTTGACTCCCAGCCTCAGCTCCGAGTGGCTCACAACTGCCTGGAAACTTCAGGGTTTCTGACTTCTTATTCTGGCCTCCTTGGGCACCTGCACTCATGTGAACATAGCCCCACACAGACACAGACACAGACACAGACACACACACACACACACACACACACACACACACACACACATAATTTAAAACATCAAGCCTTTCAAACAATAACAACTGTCTCTACAGACACACATACACACACATATAATTTAAAACATCAAGTCGCCGGGCAGTGGTAGCACATGCCTTTAATCCCAGCACTTGGGAGGCAGAGGCAGACCGATTTCTGAGTTCGAGGCCAGGCTGGTCTACAGAGTGAGTTCCAGGACAGCTAGGACTACACAGAGAAACCTTGTCTCGAGAAAAAAAAAAAAAAACAACAACAATAAAAAAAAAAGATTTTAAAACATCAAGTCTTTCAAACAATAACAAAACTGTCTCTACTCTACCATTATCCACGTCTCTGGACACCAGGCAGGGACTCCTTGACACCTGCTGTCCTTGAGAGTGAGCATGGGACATCATCCATCTGGACATTTGAAGAGGGCAACGTTCACATCTACTGGTCCATCCATAGTCCAATGTCCCTGTGTCTGCTCTGGAGTCCCAGTGACAATGTCCCCCTGGGTCTGGCTTTCTCCAGTCTCTCCCGTTAGCCTTCCTGGCTGGCTTCAGGTCAGTCTGAATCTCCAGCACCCCCTTGCCCTCTTCTTGCTTATGTCCAGCCTGCCACAGGAAATGCTCGTTAGGGATCCAGGGTGGGAATCCTTCCAAATGTGAACAATGAGTTTTGGAACCAGGATATAAATAGTCTTTGCAAGTCAGCAAATGAGAGCCTGAATTGCTCACCTCTGGCCCGCATCTGTGAGCACTTCTAACACGGATAAGAGCCATGTCTCTGGTGTCAGGGACCTGGGGGTTTAAGGCACTTACTAGCTGGAGAGTCACCTTGCCTCTGAAACTCAGTTTCTGTCTTTGTGCAAGCTACAAGACTGGAGGGAGTCTGAAAGCATGAGGCCTGGAGGCCACACCACAGATCACGCCCGCCACCATCCTTTCTCCAGTGGCTTGACTAGGAGACGAAGAACCCTCTACTGGTAATCAGCATCCGAAACCCACCACACAGGGAATGTGGAGAGCTGGAGATGGGTCCTACTGCCATAGGAAACCTGTAGGGTTGGCTCCTGCTGGAGACACTGCACTTCCTCCCTCTGCCCTCACTGCAGAGGAATGCACCAGAAAAGCTATCCTGGGCTTGAGGTAGGGCTCTTCCACTGCTGTGGTGTGACCTTGGGCCCACCCCTTGTCCTCTCAGCATTTCATCAAGTTAGAGCGCGAATGAGGAGGCTTTTGTTTTTATTTGTAGACAGCTTCTCAAATAACCAGGCTGTCCAAAAGCTTGTTATATAGGCAAGGATGGCCTTGAACTTCAGATCTTCCAGCCTCCAATTTCCAAGTTCTGGGATTACAGGTGGGTGTCACTACGGACAGCAAGAACTAGATAACTTCTACCGGCCTCTTGGGATTCATCCATATACCACTTGTTAGGACACTGGAGAGTCCAGTCGTGAGGGTGTGAGCTGAGGGAGCAGTTCACGACGCCTCCCTCACCCAGGAGTCCTGCACAAGTCAAGGACACAGGTGGCTAGGGGGACTTAGTATAAGGACAAGAGAGTTGGCTCTGGGACCAGACATGAGCTCAGCTCCTTGGAGCTCTTCTGTATGACACTGAGTCACTCTGAGACTCTAAGGGAACCAGCTGGGCTGGCTGCGCTTGAAGTTCCCGGGTGGCCACAGGGTCAAAGCTCAGAAACGGTTCACTCTTCATCCTTTCTGTTCAACAAAACTAATATGACAGGCCTGGGTTTTACCTTTTATGCTCCAGGTACCCCAGTCTTCCCCATTTATGGGGAGACATTCAAGGCAGACAGAGAATGTATATGTGCAAATATATGGAGGGCAGAGGTCAGCCTGAGTGGGTGCTCCTAGCTGTCCATCTTGACTGACACAGGGTCTCTCAGTAGGATCTGGGGCCTGCCAAGTAGGATAGGCTGGCTGACCAGTGAGCCCCAGAGATCTGCCTGTCTGCCTCTCGGTGCTAGGTTACAAGTAGCACAGGACACATGCAGCTTTAAACAAGGGATGCTGAAGATGGTGTCCTCATGTTTATACTGTGCATCTCCCCAGAATGTTCGTCAACCTTCCTCAAAGGCAGATGGAAATACCTGGCCTGATACAGAAAGGGCGTGTCCTGGAGGCTGCCTGTAAAACTGATTGTTCACTACTCTCACTATGCCAATTACACCAGCAGAGGGGTTGGGGTCCACAGCATGTCCTGACGTATCACTTTCATGTTTTTGGTACCCTCCTGTGTGGACATGCCTACCTGGCTCCTCCTCCTGACCACAAAGCTTAGCCTGCAGGAGACCACCTGACCCTGCTTCTGGAGCCAGAGGTAGCAGCCTAAAAGAGCAGGTGTCAGGGTGCCCAGGTCTTCTCTGAAGGATGTAAGAGTCACCGGAATCTCGCCATGATTGCAAGATAGTGAGTGCTTGCTATGGAGTGCAAAGCTGTCTGGCCAAGAAGAGGGGTGTGCAACCAGTGCACCTACACATTGCTGTCACTGTCCATGACAGTGATCTCATACACAACCGTTTCAAAAATACTAGGAGAGGTTTGGCCTAATGAGCAAATTGTCTAAGACTTGACTGTGAAGAATCTGTGAGGAGGGGCACTTGGGAGGCAGAGGCAGGCGGATCTCTATGAGGTTGATGCCAGCCTGACCTAGAGTTCCAGGCCAGCCAGTGCGATTTACTGAAGAAATAAACAAAAAAACAAAAGGTGTTAAGTACTTGGGGTTGGAGAGACAGAGCCAGCTCACTGAGTACAAGTCTTTGTTATGGAGCCTGATACCTCAAGTCCAATCACTGGACCTACAGGATGGGAAGAGAGGACTGACTCCTGACTCCCCAGAGTTGCCCTGCCAACACACACCCACACCCACACCCACAGTAAATAGATTTTTAAAAATGTGTGAATTCTTTTTTTTGTTGTTGTTGTTTTTCGAGACAGGGTTTCTCTGTGTAGCCCTGGCTGTCCTCAAACTCAGAAATCCACCTGCCTCTGCTTCCCAAGTGCTGGGATTAAAGGCGTGCACTACCACTAAGTGTGAATTCTTATGAGAAGGATGCTGCAGGAGAAACTGGAAATGAATCCAACAATCTACCTATTTGGTTACAATGAATCCAATCAGAACCCAATCATAGGATTAGCTGGGAACCCACCTGAGCATTTCAGAAAATCCCAAGAACAGAGACCCAGGACCATAAATAAAAAAGTAATACAATAAATACCAGCTGTTAAGTCTAGGGTTTGTTAAATAATGTTTTTATACGTTCCTGAGTTTAAGCATACATTCTTTTACAATATGAAAAAAGAAAATCAAAAATATTCAAAGATATTAAAAAAAAAAAGCAAGAACTATTTGTCAGTCTGCCTCTTGGGTAATTTATTTATTTATAAATCTTGTACCCTTTCCTCTTCCTTCCCCCATTTTAAAAAATGTAGCCTTTAAGTAAAGCATATCCCACCCAGGCTTGTTTTGCAAACAAAAAGTCTCCGACCTCGATGTAAGGTTATTTACTCTGTAAGAAAGATGTTTAGCAGGTGACACAAGACTTCCCTCCAGGGCCAGCAGTTGATCCTAGGACAATCAATGGCTTGTAAGGACTCAAAAGAAGCCAAAAAATCTCCCAAAAAATTGTATAAAAAAGATTTATTGAAATTTATCAATGACAAACAGACATAAAACTCAAAGTTTGGCTCTTTCTCAAGGGCGGGAGAAAAATGAGTTTCAGTTGTTCTGTACAAATGAGACGCAGGGCAGGAAACAGTCACTTCTAATCTGGAAGAGGGATGCTGAAAGCACACAGCGTTCACTAGGAGAAACCTGTGGCCACTTCAGAGTCCCACCAGGTAAGAAAATATGACTTTGCATTCCTTTTCCGTGCTCTGATGTAGAAGGATGGAGAAGGAAAACAAACAATAAAAACCCAGAGGACATGCAAAGAAGCCTCCAGAACTTAGATCTGTAAAAAGACTCTCAGCTGGAGCGCCCAGACAAGAGTTCTCCTGTCATTTCTGCAAAACAAATTGCTCCACTATTGTACAGAAGCAGATAGAACAGGTTTGTTTTGTTTTTGTTTTTTTAAAAAAGAAGTTAAAACATAAAGGTTCACCTCTTCCCCATTTTACATGTACCTCCTAAGCCTGCCTTTTGCTTTTTGTTGTTTGTTGTTTTGTTTTTTGCTTTCCGCTTTTTGGCTCTCGGGATCATAGCCCCAGAGTAACAAGAGTTCTCTCTGCAAAAAGCAAAGCCCACTGCCATCTGTGGAGGGGGAAAAGGGATGAGAGATGGGGACTGTCCCCAAACCAGTGCCAAAATACGCCTTTCAGTTGCTATTTACAAACCAGGGTGCTGGGTGCCTCTGGCAGAGACCGCACATACTGAACCAGAACAGGAGTTAGTGAAGACAGGGGCTGGGATTCAGTGGCTCTTGGGCTATAAGTCACCTGGTAGAGGCCAGCCACAGCCTCCTGATCAGCTCTGGGGATGTGGGATATACCAGAAAATGTTGAAGACCTCCACGCCATCCTCTCCAGAGAGTAAGAACAAACACTTGCTTGGTGTGTACTAAGCTATTGCATTTTATGGGGACAAAACCAGACACAAGGAAAAAGGAGGGGGGGGGATTAAGTATGGCAGTAAAAATAGTATTTTATTCCTCCCCTCCCACCCCCACCCCCGGCAACCCCCAGTACACTTTTCCCCTCTCATTCCCACAGCAACGCTACAATCAGAAAAAAATAAGTTTCGGGGGGCAGGAATAGGAGGGGGAGGGGAGATGGGTAAAAACAGTCAAATCACAACAGGAATTTCCCCAAACAGGTTCATTCCCCTTAGTCATCCTCTTCACCCTCATCATCCGGTTCTCGTTTTCGCTTCTGACTCCCTTCTTCTTCTGGAAAAAAAATTGAGAGAGAGAGAGAGTCAGAGAGAGAGAGAGAGAGAGAGAGAGAGAGAGAGAGAAATGATTATCAGGCAGCCATCTTTCAGGCAGCCCTGCCCCCACTGGGAACAGAGCACATCTAGGAAGCGTGGGCACCCCCTCCCATTCTCTGGCCCTTAATGCCCAAGCAAGGCAATGCTAGAGTTAAAGGGGTCAGGCTGCCACTGGGAGAGAGCAAGAAGGCTGACATACCACCAGCTTCTTCTTCGTCTTCCTCATCATCCACTTCTCCGTCATTATAACCTTCTTCATCCTCCTCCTCCTCGCCACTCACATCCTCTTCCTCCCCTTCTTCCTCCTCATCTTCTTCCTCTTCATCTTCCACTAGCTGGGCATATTCATCATACTCCTCCTCTGTAGGGGATGGGCAGCAAGAAGAGAACATGGTTTGAGATGACTGGGGGTCCATGTCTGCTCCACCCCCACCAAAGCTCAGAGCCCAGCTGCTCTTATGCACACAGCACAGGACCAAACACAAAAAGTGACTCGTGTCAGAGCCTATGTGTGGGTAAGGCCTCAGACATGGAGGTTTGAGCAAGAGGTTCTGGGGCTCCAGGGAAGCAGAAAGCCTAAATCAACATAACTAATCCCTCTTCAGAGAAATGCCTTGTTCAAGGCGACAAGTGGCCTGGGTAGTGGAGCAACTGGCCAGGGGCTGTACCATAGACCCCTGCCACACATCACAGTACCACACTGTCCAACACTTAGAATCTAAAGGATCCCCACCAAGGCTGACAGAATATATGAACATATATGAACATCTCATAGAAGACCCCAGACCAAAAAGACAACAGAATCTTATGTCCGCATTGACTGGCACTATCTGAGTGCTTCTTTGTTTGGGCTATAAAGCCCTGCAGGAGAGCTGCAGGGTGCCAACTGCAAGGAACCTGCAGAGACAATGGGATGGGGTAGGGAGGAGGGGCCATAGTCTCTCCTTCCCTCCCAAAGGATCTGACATTCACTAAAGCCCCCAACTTCCCTGGGGAAGGGCCCAATGCTGGCCAGTGGTCCTGCATGCTGCAACCACCAGGGGGCGCCACAGCCTCTTCAGCTGAAGACCCTGGTCTCCCAGATGGAGAAAAGGTCCTGGGGAGCCCATCCCCACAACTGGCCTCTTCTCCTCCCAAGTCTGGGGTCACACTATAGAGATATACAGTGTCCTTCCCCGGGGGACTTGAAGCCACCAGTCCCACTTCCCTCTATCGCTTTGGCAGATAGCTTGCCAGCTTGTTCTTTGTGAACGCTGTGCCCCAGGGTCCCCATCGCCACCTACCATCCTCATCTTCCTCGTCGTCATCCTCCACATAGCCCTCAACATCAGAATCAGGGGCCTCCTTGTTGTCCCTGTCATAGCCATCAAGGTACATGACCTGGGGCAGGAGCTTGAACACGTTTTCTCGGTAGGCGTTCAGGTTGGTCACCTCACAGTTAAACAGGTCTAGGCTCTTGAGATTCTCTAACTTCTTCTGCAAGTGGAGAAACGTAGTCAACAGTGAGGGTGACTGTGGGAAGGGGAAAACACCCTAGGAAAGGCAGCAGGGACAGCCCAAGGGTTCCAAGAGAAGGAATGTCTTTGTGTATATGTACATGGTGTGTGCGCATCCGTAGTGTGTATATGCATGGTGTTTGTGTATGTGTGTACAAGTGTGCATGCACACTCACTTGTAGAAGTTAGAAGTCAACTCTGTTCATCTTTCTCTATTGTTTTATTCACACACACTTGCACACATGTATTATGTATGTATGTATGTATGTATGTATGTATGTATGTATATTTCGACATAGTCTCTCACTGAATCTGGAACTCATCATTTTGGTTAGACTACTGGCCCAGACCCTGGGACCCATATGAGGACAATATCCTAGCACTGGGGGTCCAGGGGTACATTGCCAATTCCAGCTGTTATGTGGGCTCTGAGGATTCGAACTCATATCTTCATGTCTGCACAGCAAGGGCTTTATCCACTGAGGTCAGACCAGTCCTGACCAAATGTTATCATGTTGGATAGTTAAGAAAATGGAGGCCCAGGAAGTGAGGAGGACACAGCTAACAAGAAACGCAGCTGAATCCCTGACCTCTCACCTCATTCAAGGTCCCATCCCACAGAGTCCCTGTTGCCATGGGGACCAGGTCACACTAGGAAGAACAGACCCCTCAGAGTCAGTCTTGATTCTCTACTACTTTTGTACATAGACCCAGGTGACTCTTAGTGGAGGGGCCAAAGGCAAAGAGGACATCTGAGCTCTGGTCTGTGTGAGGCAGCCCAGCACCCCCACAACCCCAAAACAGGTTCCAACCCTGGGAGGAGAGAGGACATCGTATCAATAACCAGGACGGGAAGCCACATGAACACAGGTGACCTGCGTATGGGGAAGTAGGAAGGTGTGCCTGCCTGCTCTCCCGTGGTGACCCTGCCACACTGCCTCAGGAAGACCTCAGGTATATACACACTTCCAACACAACTGAGCCAGAACTTTGAAGACGTTTTTGTAACAAAATGATGATGCCAGGGCTTCTAGGCAGATGAAGGCAGCTCTGCCTTCACCTAGGTCAGTGGGAGAGCTAGAAAGAACTTCCTGTGGTCAGTGTGCTTTATTAGCAAGACAGACAGGTAAAGTCTGAGCTTGAAAAAGCAATGCCAGCTTGCTGTTATGACCACCTGACACCATGACCTCAGAGTGTCCAGAGACTCATGAGTGCTCTGTGGACTCGGACCAGCCACTTTTGCTGTGTCCCCGGCCCTTCCTCAAGTCAAGTTTGCGACTTTTCTCTATCTCCAAAGGATTCTTTTTGTCACATCTTCAGGCCATTTCCTTAAAAACCAAAAGAAAAGCTGCACCCAGGATGTTGGTCGCAGAGACTGTCATTCTGACTAAAATTCCCCTTTCTAACTGGAAAAGGAGTAGAGCAAGAACCAGAAGTGTCATCCATCCTGTCTCTGAGGCCCTGATCACCAATAGAGACACTCTTCTCTCCATATGCAAATGAAGTCCTGCATAGGGCTCCCACCAGGCACAGCCTCAGACTCTAGGGATACCGTGTCTGTGTTGGCCCTAACCCACTAGCCTAATGCTTGGAAGAAGTGATGGCCCTACCTCCAGAGTCAGCTAGATTTGTTCCTCTCTCCTCAAAGGGTGGCAAGCCAGTCAGGCTGTAAGCCCAGACATACCACAACCCAGGCTGAAGGGCACACACCAGACCAGGCTCCATTCCCTGCCCCATGCTCGGTGCCCATTCTGGCCAGATGACCTTGGCCCAACTGAATTCTCCATGGACCAAGCAGAAACAGTACCCATGCTACCTGACAGCACAGGATGAGAGTCAAAGAAAACAGTGATAAATAAATAGAACTGTGAAAGTTGGGTTTCCCACCGCCCCCAAGGAAAGGGGAGGACCCTAGGGACTTACCAGCGGCTCGATTGTGCTGAGATCTTTTATTTTGTTGCCACTTAAATTTAGATGCTTAAGGTTCGGACATTTCTCTGCCAATACTTCCAGGTCCCCTGAGATTCTGTTTTCACTTAATTCAAGCTGTATGAAGCAGGAAGGGGGAAAGTGCGTTTAACACCAAGCTCAGGGCCATTCTCCCCAGACAGTGGGAAGGGAACATCCCCAGGGACCAGCAAGTTGCAGCAAGCACCTGGCCTTGCCCTTAATTACGCTCGCGGAGCACACGGCACCCCCACCCCAGCCTCCCAGCTCCTAGGCTGTTTACCTTCTTGAGTTTGTTTAACTTGGGTAAGTTGGAAATGGAGGTGAGACCTACGTTGATTGTACTTAGGAATTCCAGTTCTTCAAACTCATCCGTGAGGCCTTTGATTTTGCCTTCAATTGACTTACAGTTATCCAGGACCAGCTCTTTCACCTGGAAAGGGAAGGTGGGTGTGTGAGTGGACATGGGGAAGGGGTCAGAGAGGCGCTCTAACCCCAGGGCCCCAGCAATTGCCTTATCCAGATCAGCACTGCCTTGGAGCAACCAAGCCTTGGATGACCAGCCTGCCTCTTAGCAAGACCCAGATAGGAGAATGTTGGAATACGCACACCTCTAGAACTGGGAAACCACTGCAGAGGGCATAACCAGCAGGCTTTGCTGTCACCAAGGCGCGAGCGCGTGCGTGCGTGCGTGCGTGCGTGCGTGCGTGTGTGTATACCCCTACTACATAGTCTTTCTTCAACCCCAGTATACAATGAAAACCAGAGTCCCCACTGCCTCCAGGCATCAGGCACAATGGTGGTGGCACCTAGTATCCCTGCCTACAAATGCCCAGCCCAGCAAGGCAATGGTGGTGCATGCCTTTAGTCCCAGCACTTGGGAGACAGAAGCAGGCGGATTTCTGAGTTCAAGGCCAGCCTGGTCTACAGAGTGAGTTCCAGGACAGCCAGGACTACACAGAGAAACCCTGTCTCGAAAAACAAACAAACAAACCAACCAACCAACAAACAGACAAACAAAAAACCCAAAACCAAAACAAACGTCCCATGCTCAGCCCCCACCTCGTGGTCCCAGTCCTCTCCCCCCACCTCCCACCTCCTCCCCCACCCAATGCACACAACACACTCAACCCTCCTTCCTCTGGCCTCAGCCTGTCATTGAGGCCTGGCCCATATCACTGTAATCAGTGATCATCATAGGAGCAGCATTGCAGAAAACCCTCTTGACATCCTCAGGCCTAGCCAGTGCTGTCCAGCAGATGGTCCCACCAGAAAGAAAGTACTTGGTGCTGTCCAAGAATAGAGCCACAAGCCCCGGGAAGTCCTCAATACTTGGTGTTATTTTAATCTTAAGTATACAGAGATATAAGGCACAGTTACTGGACCACAAGGTTCATGGATGCATTCCTTGGTCCCAGCCACATAGATGAGAAAACCTGTACTCCTATGACAGCCCATACTGAAAGGTGAGGGTCCCTACCTACTCCCTCTCCAAAGACAGGGAGGGTGGTAGCGGGAGGTGTCTCTGTTTATGACAGAGACAGTACAAGTCACTCTTGTGAGGAGACTCCAAACCAAACTCACTGCAGGGGCAGTTGCTGGCGCCGGTGAACACAGCAAATGGATAATAGGCCAGGGGAAAGCCAGTGGGTCTCAGGAAAGTCACAAACAACCAGAGGAATTGGCAGGTAGACCAAGGTCCCCTAGGCAAGCCAGGTGCTTGTGAGGCCCAGTCTCCTAGTGACACCAGGAACCTCACTGTGCTGTGGAACTGAGGGTTGAGCCGAGGGACTCACACACTCTAGGCAAGCACTGTTCACTTTATTCCACTTTTTTTTCCTATCTCTTTTTACTTGGCACAGGCTTTCTAGAAGTTGCCTCAGTTGGACCTGAACTTCCCTTGTACACAGCTTTAAAGGGCCTTCAACCTGTAATCCTGACTCACTTCTGGAGTAGCTGGGATTAGAGAGCTATGGCCCCAGGATTGGCTGAAAGCAATCTAAACAGAGAAGACTGGCCCCTCCTGATGGCACTTGTCCTCTGCCTCAGAACCAGCTTCCACCCTGTAGCCTCTGGGAAACATCAAAAACACTGACTGGATGTGCTGCGCCCCCATCCATGACTCACCACAGGCCCACGTGGCTCACAGGGTCGCCACTGCCCCTCCCCGCCTGCATAAATAGCCCATGAGCCAGTCCCCACCCATGGCTGCACCTTTCCTCTAAGAGGACCTTCCCTAGAGATTCCCCTGGTCTTCCAGCAACTGCTTTTATTCAGTCACTCTGCAGGGAAAGGTACAGCAGGGTCTACTCCAGGCTAATGGGCAGGGCAGGGACTACAGGCACCTGGGTCTCAGAGCCCTGCCTTCCTTCTTCCCTGTGGAGACAGTGGGTGCTCCATGCAGGACAGCCTAGCAGGGATTCACAGTTCTACCTGAAGGAAAGAAAGCCAGGAACATCACCTTCCTCCCTGAATCACAAGCTCCGAGCCTCTGCCTGGCCATGCTCCATCCTCTAGATGAATCTTTTTTTTTTCTTTTTGGTTTTTTGAGACAGGGTTTCTCTGTGTAGCCTTGGCTGTCCTGGAACTCACTCTGTAGACCAGGCTGGCCTTGAACTCAGAAATCCGCCTGCCTCTGCCTCCCAAGTGCTGGGATTAAAGGCGAATCTAAGAGGCCACGGGTCCAGGTCCAGCCAATCACTGGTTAGAGTAGAAGAATGACGCTCTTGGAACCATCCACCCTAAGGCAGGAAAACTGTAGCGAGAGGAGGCCTGGCTGTGGGCAGCGAGTGAATGGAGGGAGCGCGGCTGTGGGGCCGAGGGAGACAAGTATGAGGGGTTGGGCTCCTGTGGTCCAGTCTTCTTCCTTAACTGGTTTTCTGGGGAATCCCTGTTTCCAAAGGCAGATCCCCATGAGACTGCAGACATACGTGGTTTTCCTAGAGTGGTCAACGGCCTTAATGCCATTAGCAAGCACGAGAGGGACCCGGGATGAGGAAAGTCATGGCGGACAGTCAAGGGAATTTCTAGGGGAAGTTGTCTTTATGTGGGGGGTGGGTAGTGGGAGAGAGGGATGGCACCTCCCCAATTCCTCCCCAACTCCTGCTACCAACAGCTGATCAGGCCAGCCCCATCACCTCCCAGCACCACACCCAAACTGGGAGCCCCTCCTCTCGGGGACAATATGTAAGTCATCATAGCTACTGTTCTCTCTCTCTCTCTCTCTCTCTCTCTCTCTCTCTCTCTCTCTCTCTCTCTC